GTATGAAAAACTAAGTTTAAGGGAACTTCCATAGAAAAAGCTCCATAACTCTGAAAATATAGGATTAAGAATTTTGACGTATTGAATGAAGTTGCATGTTTTTACATTGTCTACAACTTTGCTGAAGACATCGTTCCCCTATATCCTCAAAGAAAAAAGTTAGTGTTTTTATTTTTTGCATAGTAAGACATGACTAATTTTTGACAGTTTTATATTATGTAAGATATTTATACAAACATTTTTTCCGAAGACACTATATGGCTAAAATGTAAAGGCTAGGCTCTAGGAATAAAGTTCCACTTTTTGCCGTTTTGGACCACAGTGCGATGGTGTTGTTAGTTTGCGTGAGCGTATTCGGTTCGCGCGAAAAGGGGCTTAACAAGTTTTGTGTACATAAGTTGATAGACCCGTTTCATATGTTACGTGAGTATTATTCATGTGTTCATTTTTAGTAAACAGGGCCCCGCTGTTGTGTCACTTTTTGTTGAGTGAGTGAACTCAAATCCATCCGTGCACTCGTCTATGTAGATGCACCATATATCACATGATTTTGACATGTTTTGACAATCTGACACTTTTAGGCAAACTGACAGCGGTAAAACTGACGAAGGTATGACCGTACAAAGCAGCTTACTCTTTCACACTTGCATCGCAGTGCGAAATGCTAGAAAGAGTAGTCTGTTGCAGTCATCCTCACATTTATGTGAGCTCCGCCGAAATTCGTGATTGTTGCCAGCGTGGGAAAATGAAGAGGTTAAAGATAGATGGATTCATTCGGGGTTTTTATAGCTTGAAATGTATCTTTAACTGGGGAAACATTATTACCGTTTTTGAGTTATGAATTAAAACAAACTTTAAAAACCCATTACTTATAAACCATGTATCGTAGACACAAATTATGTTTCCTTCAAAAAACGAAAAGCAACACAGAACAAACCATTTTCCGAATACTGACATTTACTCCAATATTGTATTTTCTTGCTTTGAAAATTTCTTGTCTTTACTGGTCATTTTTTTAAAGTGAAATCTCTTACCGTTTTTGAATTATGACCAAAACTCGGAAAATGATTTTTCCAGATTTTCTATGCAATTTTCCTCCATCGTGCAAATTCTCCTGAAAATATTCAGATCATATTTTATTTTAAAATTTTTCGTTCAAAATACAACGTTTTTTCTACGATGCTTGTATCATCTTCCGAGCAATCTCCCGGCACAAATTTGTTTAATAAATTAAAAAATCTCACTATTAAACGGTTCTTTTAAAATACTAGAGTATACCTGTACGAATTTGACAGCAACGGTTAGATGAGTTTCCATACTTTTTAAGACGAGTTTATCGTCATCTGACACACTCAAATTTGGAAATGATTCAAACGTGTGCTATATTCGGAGACCGCGAGAAAGTTGCTAGGTGCCTGATCTTGATAAAAAAAAAATTGTGCTAAGTTCCCCTTCTGTTCTGTGGACACAGGCTTGTTGGTCTATCCCAGTACAACATATTTGTCCAAGACAGTATAGCTTTATATATTGAAACAAATGAGATAATCCATCACCTATTAGTGAAAATCCCATAAGCTGTGGGTTTCCTTATTCGCGGATAGCCCGGCAATAAGGATCCGGCACTAAGGGATACCGGCAATAAAGATTCCTGACTGTATAACCGTCCGGTAGGTAGAGCGCCAGCGCTAATCCGGCAAATGCAGCCGAAAACCTTGAAAGCGAACGCACGCACAAAACAGAGAACAAACTTAAAACACAACCGTATCCAAAGGGGTTCGAAACTGCACTCTGTCCTTTTCCGTTTTGTATTGTCTCTGAAATGATAATCCTGGCAGTCTCGTGTAATTGAATAGGAAGTGAGATCGTATATCCTAATCCCTTGTTGAGAAGTGTCAATTGTTCTTCTGTGAACTGCTGCGTCGAGCGATTTACCACAAAACCTTCGACGGATTTAACCACAGCGGTGTTAACTGAACTGTGTGATTTCTGGTCTCTCTGCTGTGTTGTGTAATTCAAATAGTATTGTAGTGACCTCAGTTTGTTGTTATGTAACTTTCTTTTCCTTTTTTCCTCGCAGTCCTCCAATACTTTTACTTTAGTCAAAAACAGTGGAAATTCAATTGTGAATTCTTTGGCCAATTTCAAATGCAGGGAATAACATTCCAATGACTTTGTTTCCAACTTTGAGTAGAGACTCTGAATGCTCGCTTTTATAAATTCTGACTCCATCTTACGAACTACTTTTAAGGGAGTTGGTATCTTAACTCTAATCTTATGACTGATAGGTGTTAGATTTAATTTTCGGCATTTCTTAAGAAACGCTATGTTTTTCCTTAAACCTACGATGGATTTCTTTAGTGATATGAACCTATTGGGCTCTGAAAGCTTGGAAGTCATGATCAATCTTTTAAATTTGTCGAACCTCTTAACGGAATCGCTTTATGATTCTTTGAGTGTGTTGGTTTATTTCCTTTTAATTCCGTTATAATTGCTATCTTTTAACAGATACGCGTATTTCGTCTACTACTTGCAGACTTCATAAGTGCCAAGTACTCAACACCACTGAAAAATCCATCTTTTATCTACGAGTTATATACTAATCACGCGTATCTGTCAAAAGATAAGCAATTATAACGGAATTAAAAGGGAATAAACCAACACACTCAAAGCTCTTCAGGAAAGCATTTTTTGACCATGTTTCACTAGCAACCAAAAATATCCACAGTCACCCCAGTATTATGGGTCACCCACAATTGTGGGCCACTTCAATTAGATTAACACGCAGAACTGGCTGACCCATAATAGTGACTAGTTGGCCCATAATACTGCATTTGTATTATCCAGATGACGCAATGTTCTACGAAAAATTGAAGAACAGAAAATTTGTATCGTTGGGCCCAATCTTTAGATACATAGGGAAATATTAGAGCCATTTTCGCTATAGGGATATTTTCCCTATCGGCCTAAGTGTCGCTAATATTGGGTCCACACATAAATTTAAAAGGACAGCATTTTTGCCAATTTATCGCTATCGAATCGAAAATATCCATTCATATCGTCCAGATGACGCATGGCTTTTAGGAAAATTGAAGAACAGATTTTTAACGACGGGCCCAACCTTTAGATCCATAGGTCAACATTAGAGGAGCCGTTTGCTCTACCTATGTGGCGCCATCAGACAAATAAAAAAATGTTTATTATTATTATCTTGATCAAGAACCATCGATTCCTTTCAAATTGCAATCGTAAGACACCTCATTAACATATAAAACGAATGCAGGCGCTCATCATCAACACGCGCAACAATTTCATCATCAAGGACAATTCTCACCAAACTTCATCATAACACTTCAGATTTCCTCAATAAAACCGGTCTCAAAATTCAACGATTAACAGAGTGCACTCACGGATCCTCCCAAGACCAGACACATTCCTTTCGTGATCCCACCGAGTTGCCACACTGGGCATGCAAGCTTCAGTTTATCCAGATGTTTCGCTCAAGACTAACTCAGTCCCTCTCCTAGTAAATATCTTAAGCCGTCGAAGAGGTTTACTTTCACTTTTGCCTTTGCTTGAAGAAGTGCTTTTTCGCGCTCGCAAAAAAAAAACCGGTAATGATCTCTATTTCACGGCACGATTGCATTGCATCACCAATGTTATGGTGTATCGCTTGGTTGTTTCCCATCATAAATACCAACCAGTAAAGCCAGTGAATCCGGTTCGAATTTGTTATTTTAAAAAAAAAGGTCTCCAGACAAGAAAAACTGTGACACTTTGGTTGCTTCTCCGCTGTGGCATTAATACCTAATAGCCCTCAATTATCCTACACTGGGTAATGTTGCACGCGAAGTGGTAAAAATGACTCCCCTTGTTGCGACGCGAAGACCATCATTCCGGGACTTGAGCGATGGGTTGTGTCACACCTCTTCTGGGATTTCAACCAACCTGCCAACAACGTCTCGAAGTTTCAACTTCTAACTGCTATACGACCATCGTCGTCGTCGTCGTCGTCAGTGCATATTGCGCGATAAATTTGTCTCCGGTTCTATTGCTTCTCGTTGTTGCTACTTGAACTCCCTGCCCGAGCATCATCCCAACGGTCACAAGTTGTGCGGGATGATGTACAAAATAAACAAATTATTGTATAAGACAGGATAAGACCGTTCGTGGCTGTGGCATAGAACCATAGTGTGAGCAAAGAACCAACAAATGATGCCACTTTTGCGCCGCTAGGCTGTAAAAGCACACGTTTCCTGCGAGCTCCAAAGGACATGGGGTGGAAGACAATTGCTGAAATCTTAAGCCTCACCGTCGTCGTCGTCGTCTAGGAAGAATATGATATACTCCCGGTGCCTGAACATACACAACATTCTGCTGCCTCAAGTACGTTGATGGTCTCCCACTTGGGGAATTCAAGACAAGTGCAACAATTTTTCATGTTCAACCGAGCGCGCGATTGCTAACCCTGACTGATGAGAATTCCACCACCCATCCTACCTACGTGGGAAATGCCATGGAAAAGTTTAAAATTTCCACATTTTCGAATCACACAATACTTTAAACATCCCAACATATGTTAATATTTGTCTTTAATTAAAAAATAATAACTCAAGGATTTTCACACCCTCGGTTCCGTGCATTTCCCATCGCACCGGGCAAGATGCTGTATGTGAGGCAAAATTGGATTCCGGAAACAAACACGAGTCACCGCCGCACCTCCCAGGGCAAACTTTCTCCTTCTATACTACGAACGCCGTTTTCCTCGGCAGAGCACATTCCACCGCATGAATCATCTGGCAAGCAAGCGAAGGGAAAGGCTCTCATTTCTATTAGTTTTACATTTATAGAATATTTGCAAATGAATTACCGGATGGGATGCCCGTCCGTCCGTCCGATGAATGGCTAAAAGCAGACTAACACTTGTTCAGTTTTCGGGGAACACACAACCAAAATTAATACATTTAAAGTTTAATTTCCTTATTTTCGTTTCTCAATTTCAGCTTTGACCGCGATCAGCCTTTCACCTTCCAGTTGGGTGCCGGACAGGTCATCAAGGGATGGGACCAGGGATTGACCGATATGTGCGTTGGTATGTGAATCTATCTTTGACTGAAATTTAAAAAATATACATATTCTAATCGGAGGATCAAATTTTAGGAGAGAAGCGTAAGCTGACCATCCCGCCAGAGTTGGGCTACGGAGAGCGTGGAGCCGGAAATGTTATCCCAGGAGGTGCCACCCTGGTGTTCGACGTCGAGCTGATCAACATCGGCGACACTGCACCGACGACGAATGTGTTCAAGGAAATCGACGACAACAAGGATATGCAGCTGAGCCGCGAGGAGGTAAGTTCCGTTGTTTTCGGATCGGCATACACGCAGACAAAAGAACGTAAGAATTCCATAAGAAACACTTATGAATTTTAGCCACAAGAAATCAGTTTGAATTTCATTGATTTACCTTATGAAAAAAATTGTTGACAAAAAATAATAAATCGGAGCAGACTGGAACCGAACCATGGACGCACTTATGAAATTCATATTTGTCGTTCATAAGTCGAGTCTTATGAAATTCTTAAGTCTATTTGCCTCAGTGTAGTACAGGTCATTTGCATTGGCATAAATAACCCCCTCCATACCTAGAGCTGGCATATCCCACAAATTTAAGAAATAAATACCAGTACAATCTATTTTTGCATTGCATGGAGGAATTGCGATATTTTAAACTCTGCTGCAAACGTTGAATCTCTACTTTTTTTTTTGAAGATATGTCTTAATTTTGAAAACAGTTGAAATACTGTGAAGAAACGTTTCTGATCTTCAGAATAATAATTTAATCTAATCTAATCTAATCTAATATAACGCCAACACAGCCAGTTCTTGACAGCATCCTGAAAATGATTGATGTACCTTCATCATTTTTCTTATCTATTTGATTTATGTTTCACGTCGAAGATGCGTCAAACATACCAAAACGGCCAGGCCTACTGTGCAGCATTTAAGGGGCAAGATGATTCAGAAAACAACGGACCTGTTTAGATCGAGGATATAAACACGATTCTTCAGAATCCAATAAATGGATTTAACGTGAACATCTCGTACCGTTACGTTCCGTTTTAGATAATTATATGATTGGTTGGTCGTTGAACGCATCTAAGCCAGAAAGGTTAAGTGATGCTCCATTTTCCTCTGACGGGTGGGACATGAGCACTTACTCTTGTCCTAGCCTTCTATGGCTTATGGGGAAATAGCGCCATTACTCGCTTTCTAAAATGAGAAGAGGGAAAGGAAAAGAAGGATAATTTTAAAAATAAACATGTTTCCAATGCTAATTCACCCATGAAACTATGAATGGTGTTCCTATACAGCATTATAGAAAGTTCTGTCCAAAATGAAGTATTACAAAAATTGCAAAACATCATTTTGAGCTGATGTGTCAAAAATCTAAATTACTAATAATAATTGGACATCATAAAATAAGGATTTTGGAATTTCCATATATCGTTTTCTACAATTCCTGCATTGAGGCATCACTAATAATGAATAATTGAAACACCAATAGCAAAGACTATATAAATATTCCCTATAATTGGTCAAAAACTAATTTTCTTAAAAATGAACATCACACGGGGCAAGAGTGCCACCCTAGGTGGCACCCCTATATTTATGAATAAAATTATACAAAAATGTAAAAGAAATTGCTTCATTGTCAATTTAAATCTTCGGTAAGCTTGTTTTCACCAAATCTGGCAAAACCAGCTACATAAAATATCAACAACAATAGTTTTCATTTGATTTCATTGGTAAACATACACTCAAAATAATGTTCACGTCAATGCTACGTGGAAACATACGTAGATTTTTTCCATCATACTTTTCACGTAAGAGCTACGTGATTATCATGTAGGGGTACTCATTTTATTGAACCCAAACGTCACTGGATTATCACGTAGATGTTACATAAATTTGTCGATGGCATTCACTGGTGGATTCCAGTATCATATTTGTTTATAGTTGTTTACAAAAGATTTTCTTATAATATAAAATCAATTATGTATTCCTATAGAATAAATAGAAATCTAATAATATTCCTTTATTTATTGATGCATATATTCAAAAAAAAAATATCAGAAAAAGTGTAATAATATCCGTTATGGATCCCAAACAATCCTGGTGATATGAGCAATGTAATAGGACGAATTAACTTTTAACTGCCAGATCATTTGCCGTCTTTCTATTGAACACAATAAAACAGACAATGTATGTTTGAAAATCAGGATAATCATTAGAAATAATCAAAAATTATACTTACATCTTGCAATTATTTTACAAAAAATAACGGACATTAGCACATCACAATGTCGCCATACTTTGCACCACTTTGAGTGTAGAACTCTTTTTTTTCAGACTTGGAAATCACATAAGGTTTACGTGAAATGCATATAGAAACCACAAACGAAGTGACAGACGACTAACTGGCGAAGAAATCCATTTAAATAATGTGGTTCACTGTAATAGAATTTTCTTGGAAGCTTGTGCCATTATCCACCAGATGGGTTAGTTTTTTTGTTTTGATTTGAACAAAGTTGATTTTGTGTACAATGATTCTTTGACAGTGTGCAAAGAGTGCGTATCATTTTGTCATTTTTTTATGCATTTCAGTTTTGAGTAGAGTGAAAGAGATAGAACCAAAACATTCTAGTACATTCGGTGAAAATGCTAGTTCAATCTAGTAGTAGTGTTGCCATGTGGTACAATCCAGTAGTAGTGGTGTTACCATGTGGTACACTGAAAAATTGCAATAGCAGGTTAGTCACCAAAGTTTTCGAGCCGCTCCGTCTGTAACTTCGTTTGTGATAGAAACAGTGTCTGTGAAAATCACGTAAATTGCATTGATTAAGTATGTGTGCTTAATCGGAATTCCCTTTGATATTCAAGGGGTATCACATACATTCTACGTGAGTCATGTAAAACTGAGGGGAGTGGAAAAAGAGAGACCTTACGTGATTTTTCACGTAGTTTCAACGTGTCGATTATTTTGAGTGTAGTTCATTTGTTATGTATTGAATAATATTGTAAAATTCAATAGTTAAATTGAGTAAACAATAACTACTGTTGCCAGCATGATTAATAAACAAAAGGCTATCTAATCTAATCTAATCTAACGCCAACACAGCCAGTTCTTGAAAGCATCTTGGAAAATAATGGATATACCTACATCATTTTTCTTGTCTATTTGATATATGTTCACATCGAAAATGCGTCACACATACCAAAACGGCCAGGGCTACTGCACAGCATTTAAGGGGCAAGATGATTTCGAAAACATCTCGTACCTTACGTTCCAATTTTAATAATTATATGATTGGTTGGTCGTTGGAAGCATCAAAGCTAGAAAGGTTAAGTGATGCTCCATTTTCTTCTGACGGTTGGGACATGAGCACTAACTCTTGTCCTAGCCTTTTATGGCTTATGGCTATAGCGCCATTACTCACTTTCCGAAAAGAGAAGAGGAAAAGGAAAATGAGAAGGACAAAGGGAAAATGATTATGTAAACTCTATGAACATAAACAATATTTTTGATTTGAAATATACAATATATAAATGCATAACGGCGGTGGTCACTACCCGAGTCTTATCACTTTTATCAAGTCATAAAAATTAACAAGAACTAAAATGTGATCCTTTGTTTACTGGAAAATCCTGATTCCCTAGTTTGCAGTTGTCACGACTAGGGTTCGGTGGTAGATCTTATACCAGTAACGCACCACAAAAAGGTGATCTCCCAACGTTACTGGTTTGAAAAGATAAAAATTTACAAAATGAAACGAACTCACCAATTTTAGCCAATTAATCATTTTGTACGACCATTTTCCACAGAGATGGCGCTGTTCCGCTGGTAGGAAGTGATAAAAATCCCCATATAAAAATTGAGAGAAGTTGGAATAATTCGCTTTCGGTGCATATTCAAGTCAAAAAAAAGTGAACGACAACCTTAAGAAATTAGTCAGGGGCTTTGTCGTTGAGTTTTTTCCCGGAAATCAATGCTAAACAAGCTACAATTAAATAAAAATGATTTTTCCCCATACAATTTTACCTGCTTTACTACCAGTGCCCAGAGAGCCAAAAAAATTCAAATTTGAGAGAGAAATTCTCTCTCACGACCACAATCTCTCAACATGCCATGTATTTTGTTGATACTCGATTTGTGATTTCCCTTTCACAGATTACAAAAAAAGAGTACCTGACTATATATGCATTTGCTTTAACATTTGAAGTCCCTCCTTTTTTACATATTCTGCGCAAAAGATACTTTATGCCCCGCCCCATACATAAAATTCGGCGGGAAATTTTGTGAGGGGTGAGCTATTTTGTGTGTAGAATGTGTAAAAAAGGAGGGACTTCGAATAATAATCTAAATGCATATATAGAGGTACCAGACATTGTGTGCACTGCAGTGTCCTCTGTGAACAATTATAGGAAAACAGATTGTGCCTAGTTTCCGATAGATGTCACCGCAAACAACAGCTGTGACATCTGATGGAACATGAATGCAGAAGCTTGACAAAATGATCAATTGAACCTGAAGGCAGCTTGACATGTGTTGATGTAGAAGTCCAAATTGTAGACGAAGCTTGACGAAGATCAACATGAACTAGTCCGGTTTATCGTAGTTGAGTGGAATGTCTTCCCTCGATTTGAGATAAAAAATGTTCGGATGTATGTAATCGATTTTTGATGCACACTTAGGAATAACTAATTTCACATGTGACGGAATCCATCTTTGACATAAAAGATGTTACGTAAACAAACATGTCATGTAATATTACGTACCCCGAGACGGAAAACTTCGTTGCTCGACGAAAAGTACATTTTATTGAGCTATATTTCGCGTCTGTTATGACTCAAATTTATGTCAAAATTGACACTAGTATATGTCGCTCTCAGAGCACCTAAATTTACATTAATTTGTCTAAGTGTATGTGCATTGGCAAGCCTTTTCGTGGCCAATAGTCAGGTTCAGCGCTGAGACGAATGATGGAACTAATGATGGGACGAATGATGGGACGCCTCATGGACGTTCTACTTGTCTTCGTAACAGCTTCTCAGCGGGAAATAACAGGGAAGAAGAACTAGATACAATTAGATGCAACTCTCGCAGGACTTCTTCTGTCTTAACGAACTCGCTGACTAACTACACACTTAGAAATAACAAATTTTACACGTGACGGAATCCGTGTTTGACATAAAAGATGAGACGTAAACAATCATGTCATGTAAAATTAAGTGCCCAAAGACTTAAAAGTTCGTTGCTCGTCAAAAAGTACGTTTGATTGAGCTATATT